CCCCCCCCCCCCCGGGCGTACAACATTTTAGTCAGTCTTTCATGCCAAACTTCACTCATTCATTTTGCGGCAATCAACCTTGATCGTTTCGTTGCAGTGGGGTTTTCACTACGTCACAAAATCTTCGTGGAAAAAAGGCGGACTTAAGGTGATGCTCATAGCATCATGGTCCATTCCGATTCTTGCTTCCGTATTATCCTTTATTATTCCGCCAGCTTCCTCTCTCGTGTTATCTTTCGGATTTTTAATTTTTGCCTTCAGCGGGATTGTGGTAGTTTTGCTACCGCAAGAAAACAAGAAAGCAGCTAAGAGCTCGAACAATTTATTTGAAACTGACTACCCGCATGGAGTCCGTGTTACTTGCACACTGGCTATCGCAACACAGGCGTAGTCACCACTTGTTGGGTTCCTCCAATGATTGTACTTGTGTTTGCCACTAAAAAACTGAAGCTAAACGGCCCTCTACACATGTGGCACCAAACTCTGGCTCTATCAAACTCGGCCATGAACTTTCTGATTTACTCTGCTAAAATCGGAGACTTCAGAGATACATTTGTTGGCATCTTAGGAAAGGTGCTCCGCTTGTAGCTGGAGCTTATCTTTTGTTACAGTTTCAAGATTTTAAAAACTACCGGAAAGTTCCTAGTGTTCAACTCGTGATTAATTATAATCGTCATTAACAGGTTATCTAAATTTAGCATATCAGAAACGTCAACTGCCGGCACTTCTTCTCCAGCACAACAACTTCTGTGTAGACGCCGGCCTTACAATCACGCCGGGATCGGGTCCCCCAGCGTAAGAAACTGCATTATGTGTGTGTGTATGTGCTTTTCTTTTTTCCTCTCTTTTGAATATTTTTTATATTTTTTTCATAGTTTATAGGGTTTATACTTTTCTCTTTTTTTCTCTTTTAACCTAAATAAAACTGTTATTTAATTAAAGGGCAAGTAATTAGTTTAACTATATCCTGCCCTCTCCATTTATTCTTGTAACCAGATATTTAATTCTACAAATAGCATCTTTAATTCTTCAATCTTGTAATACAATATAAATGGCTTGTAAAATAAATAAATGGAGGAAAAAATAAACAAATAAAATAAACAAATTATGTCAACGAACTGAACCAACCTCAACACCCAAAAATTTCCATAGCTCAAGAAAAACTTAAACTTGAACTTAAACGCTTTAAAATAACGACTTAGGGCAGTTAATGTTGCCCAGAAATTTTAAGAGCTCTAGAAGACTTAATTTTTCTAAGTGTCTGTTCAATTTACATGACGTGTTTGAATCTTTTCTTTAACGTCCCTAAGAGTTTTACGCTTTTTAAAAGTATATTTGTAAGGGAAAACCGTCGAAGGTATAGCGTGCCGCTGGTTTGTCGATGGTACAGGTTGTCGGATATTGTCAAACGGTTTTGTGGTGGTGGAGAAAAATTGGCGGATATTATCAAAGGGTTTTGCGGTGGTGGATAAAAGTTAAAAACTATACGGTCCCACTTCTCAACATACTCCTCTTAAGAACGCTATAGTAACCCTGTTGCAGCTTGAATGACAAGGTACACAATAAACAAAAGAAGGTCGTACCATCGTTTTCCCAAAACAAATAACTCGTGGAATTGCCTTTATCAGAGCAAAACGTTGAGGGTAAATTGTTGTAAGAAAGGCTGTGCTAGGGGCTTATAATAACACATTAGTTATACTCCCATAATTATCTTGTTTTAGGATACATTGTGGACATCTCAATGTCTCTTGATGTACATTTACATATTCTGTAACATTGTTTAGTCAAAATGCGTTTACTTGCCTTTTCAAACGGAAGTAAGTGTTAAAAATTTCCTACAATCGGCGAAAAAATTGTTGAGACATTGTACTCAAATAGGGTAACTTCAGGAAAAAAAAGAATCCACCCCCCTCCCCTCCGCTCCATTCAAAGTAGGGGTGTTTGTTGTTTTCTACTGGTGGCTCGAAAAGCGGCACAACATTGCATGGAGGGGATGGGGGGAAGCTTTATTTTCCCCTTTTAATTTCGGTGAAACGTCAGAAAGCTCCATTAAGGCGAAGTGTCTAAACGAAGTTTGTCGCAGATTGTAGCCTTGCTTCCTTGCTTGCTAACTTTCTCATCGCCTATTCCACAAAGGATACCTGGCGACAACAAATCCTTCTACTGTGAAATGGATAATTTTGTTCACTTTAAATCAAGCGCTTATTCACAGACTACAAGGGATATCTGGTGAAAACAACTCCACAACTGCAAGAGATAATTATGCTTCGGATATTTCATTTTCAGAGTAAAATGTCTGCTGAGCTGTCTCATTTTCTTGAAGAACACGTTTGTCCTTAGGAGTAAAGACTACCGGATCGCGANGAGCAAAACGTTGAGGGTAAATTGTTGTAAGAAAGGCTGTGCTAGGGGCTTATAATAACACATTAGTTATACTCCCATAATTATCTTGTTTTAGGATACATTGTGGACATCTCAATGTCTCTTGATGTACATTTACATATTCTGTAACATTGTTTAGTCAAAATGCGTTTACTTGCCTTTTCAAACGGAAGTAAGTGTTAAAAATTTCCTACAATCGGCGAAAAAATTGTTGAGACATTGTACTCAAATAGGGTAACTTCAGGAAAAAAAAGAATCCACCCCCCTCCCCTCCGCTCCATTCAAAGTAGGGGTGTTTGTTGTTTTCTACTGGTGGCTCGAAAAGCGGCACAACATTGCATGGAGGGGATGGGGGGAAGCTTTATTTTCCCCTTTTAATTTCGGTGAAACGTCAGAAAGCTCCATTAAGGCGAAGTGTCTAAACGAAGTTTGTCGCAGATTGTAGCCTTGCTTCCTTGCTTGCTAACTTTCTCATCGCCTATTCCACAAAGGATACCTGGCGACAACAAATCCTTCTACTGTGAAATGGATAATTTTGTTCACTTTAAATCAAGCGCTTATTCACAGACTACAAGGGATATCTGGTGAAAACAACTCCACAACTGCAAGAGATAATTATGCTTCGGATATTTCATTTTCAGAGTAAAATGTCTGCTGAGCTGTCTCATTTTCTTGAAGAACACGTTTGTCCTTAGGAGTAAAGACTACCGGATCGCGAACAAAAGAAGCAACAATAAGTGAAATTAGTGAAGGATCTCGAGCGGACATATTGTTTATAGGCATGAAGAAACTCTACGAGATTTAGTCAGCAAATATAATAAATCAAAGACCATATCATTTGAATTAATAATCCTTTTTAGAACTCCAATATTGATATTTTGCTTTTGTTGATAACCTAACTTATCTTTCTCTTCTTCGAAAGCTATTAGGATGTCTTTTTATGTACGTCAATTATCTTCAGTATAGGTCCTTCGAACTTAGCATAAGAGTGGGCGTGAAAACAGATATATTTTTAACTTACTACAAATTTGGAGTCATCTTATAGTTAAAGCACTGTTAGTAATAGACGAAGAAAAAGACACATGCAATACAGCCTTTGCGAAATCCAGAGTTCCATACCAAAGTACAACTGAACATGAATGTTTCACTGAAAACTACAAAAGACTGTTCTCTTCCCCTGTATCAAGGTATTGCTTTGATGACAGCCAACGCCACTGTGTGCGTATTTGGTTCACTCGGCAACTTACTAGTTTGCTTTGCCATTGCCACAAATCCTCGACTTCGTCGATGCTCAAACTACCTTCTGTTCAGCTTAGCCGTTGCAGATTTGATCGTCACCTTGGTATGTGAGCCCCTCCTTTTGGAAATGTTCTACAATCGAACATTTGTTCGCGAGTGCAAACCAAGCCTGGAAAGACTGTATTCTATTTTAACCAATCTCTCCTGCTCCGCTTCAGTGGTTCATTTGGCCTGTATTAGTGTAGATCGATTTATCGCCGTTGTGTTTCCTCTGCACCACGAAATCGTCATGAAGAGATGTGGGTTAAAGATTATGTTGATAGCATCTTGGGCATTCCCAATTTCAGTGCCCATTCTAATGGTTGTTCTCCCACCTTCCTTTCCCAAAGGGTTCTTGGCGATTGCTTCATTTGCCTTCAGCTATTTTGTTGTCATTTTCTCATACCTTTTGATTATGGTGTTCTTGCTCATCCACAAGCGAAAAAGGAAGCGGCTACGGGCTCGGGCAGTTTCTGTTGATCCTTCACCACACATGGAGATCCGTGTTGCCTGCACGCTGGCCATTGTCATCGGCGTTTTCACGGCTTGTTGGGTCCCGGTAATGACCGCATTGTTTGCTGCCGGTAAATCATTGATGAAGCGAAACGGCCCTCTACACATGTGGCTCCGGACCTTGGCTCTGTCGAACTCAGCCATGAATTTTCTGATTTACTCTGTAAGAATCCGTGACTTTAAAGACTCATACGCAGCTATCTTTCGAAAGATGTGCCGTCTGTAGAGTTTGTTGCGAACCTAACTGATAAATACTTGCATGATGTCGCCAATATGTACATGACATTCTTTAAGGTGCAGAAGTTCTCGATTCCTTTGCTATGTCATTAAAATAACTTTAATTACTTAGCAGGATTTACAATAACAACTCCTTACAAGGCTATTTTCTCATTTTACACGTTTATACTCAGAGTATTAATTGCCCTTGGCAGTTCAANGTGGCTCCGGACCTTGGCTCTGTCGAACTCAGCCATGAATTTTCTGATTTACTCTGTAAGAATCCGTGACTTTAAAGACTCATACGCAGCTATCTTTCGAAAGATGTGCCGTCTGTAGAGTTTGTTGCGAACCTAACTGATAAATACTTGCATGATGTCGCCAATATGTACATGACATTCTTTAAGGTGCAGAAGTTCTCGATTCCTTTGCTATGTCATTAAAATAACTTTAATTACTTAGCAGGATTTACAATAACAACTCCTTACAAGGCTATTTTCTCATTTTACACGTTTATACTCAGAGTATTAATTGCCCTTGGCAGTTCAATATACAGTATTACTGAATATGCATGTCCAATTTAGAGCAATTTTGCCGCCTTACCTTATTTTTGTTTTCAGTTTATTGAGTATCGCTCGCAGTTATAACAGATAAGCACCTTGAGGTATTTGCTATTGATCTGGAGGACTCGTGAACGCAGCACTAACTCTAATTCAGGGCGAGTCAGTAAAAATGACTGATGCAATACATGATTATAATGAATGATGCTAATTTAATGAGGAAATTGATCGAAAAAAGATGATGGCAATAACAATCCATCCAGATTAAAGTTAAGAATAAGTGCTACTTTCTTATGATGGCTTTTGTGGCCGGTAGAATTAGTTTCGGATCAGTCATGGTCTGCTCTGCGAGGTAAATAAAAAATACTTAGAGAAAATATTGTTAGCAAGGTAATACTAATATTATGCAGCTCTTGTAGTTGTCAATCTGGCTGATTTAAGTGCAGTGTTCTTATCAATTGACCTTTTGAGAGTTTCAGAATGTAAGTTTCTTTCTTACGTCAACAGACTGTATGCGGGTATTTCGACGTATCTAGTCAGTTAGTAAAATCCAACTGGTCTATTATCAATGCTGCGTTCTGACTGGTTGAGCTATTACTAGGCTTTATTATATGGAAGAGAGTGTTTTACTGGGAACTAAACCACTCATAGATTCCATACGCCACTTCATACTTCATCACTTCATACGCCGGGACCCGAGTGGCGTATTTTCCGTATGTCACCTTTGTGATTGTCGTATCGTTCAATGACGTCACGATTCGCGCATTTTGCTTTTGTTGAATTGGTTTCTCCTTATAATAAAAAGAACATTACACTTTGGCTCGAAGATATGAATTTTATGTTCTTGCCACTCGAACATAAAATTCATATCTTCTCGCCACCGAGTAATATCCTCTATATATGTTATAGCCCACTAGTAGTGAAAAGCGCCGGCTTTGAAAACCAAAACAATAGCGGCTGTATCGCGTTTTGCTGGCTAAAGTTGTTTTGTCTTGATATTTTTGACCAAATAGTTAGATTTTACTAAAACAATTATTCCTCGAGCCCGAATGGGCTTTGAGTCAATAGCCCATGAGGCCGAGATAATTGCTAAATAACTTACCTATATAAGCGCTTATGATATACGAGGTAAAAAAGGCAATGCTGTGTTTGAGACTTGCAGAGCACCAGCCCAAGTGACGTGCACAATGAACGTTCCATTGGCAAACAGAAACGGTTGTCCTCTACCAATGGCACACAGTATTCCACTAATCACTATCAACACTATCGTATGCGTTTTGGGATAACTTGGAAACTTTCTTGTTTTTTGGCCGTTGGCTCGCCTACGCCGAGACCCAAACTAACTCCTACTCAGCTTAGCAATCGCTGATCTAATCGTCACCTTGATATGCGAGCCACTTCTTCTGGCATACATCAGCCAGAGAATATTCTTCCATAAGCGTACAACAAGCCCGAAAGCACTTGCGCTCGGCATTTTGGTCAGTTTTTCATGCACCTCTTCATTTTTACATTTAGAGGCAATCACTATTGATCGTTCTGCTGCCGTTGTGTTTCCACTGCGTCACAAAATCTTCATGAAGAAATGCGTTCGAACAGTTTCGTTGAAACTGACTTTCCGAATGGAGTTCCTTGCTGCTTGCACACTGGCTATCGAAACAAGCGCTTTCACCGTTAGTTGGTTTCCTATACTCATTGTGTTTGAAACTAAAAGACCGAAAATAACCAGCCCTCTACACATGTGGCGCCTAACTCTGGCTAGGTTAAACTCAGCCATGAACTTCTTGATTTACTCTACTAAAATGCGGGACTTAAAAGATTCATACCTCGGTATCTTACGACAGATGTTCCGCCTGTAGAGTGGTCGAACTACTTTAGAAGGGAACTCGTTATGAAGAAAGTTATTTTTAATTAGTATTTCATAACATGAAGTGTTATTACTTGTTGCCTGTTATTATATGTACACTATTTTTAGTTGATAATATATAGATTTAGCCAGGGATAAAAGCGAAGCTCTCGAAAATATTTATAGTTTGTTCAAACAAAATATGAAATCGAGCAATGCTAAGCGGAGAGGGCATGCAACGCCGAAAAACGATGAAAAACAACAATAAGTCTAATTACCAAAAGTTGTTTTGCACGACTACAACGTGGAACTTCCGGAAAATTCTTAGTTACACGTTTTATGGAGGAAATGTCGTACGTGTTCCAGTTCACTTTTTTTCACTGATATTCATTTTCACCTTGCATTGGTCACTGCCGCTACAATATTTTTCTGTTGTTCTTCCAACAAAAAAAATGTCTCCTTTGTTTTTTATCTCTCGCTCTAAATCCCTGTCGCCCTTTATCTCGTTGAGCTTCGCTGGCCTGCCGCCCACTTCCTCTTTTCCTCTGTCTTTGTCTTGCTCTATATTCCAAATTTGTGGACATGACAATTTATCTAAGCTTAATACTTTAGACAACAAGGATAAAGAAACAATTTCCGCTTTCCGTTTTCGTCTTTATTGACTCTTTTGTTGTCTCTGCTTTACAAGACGCCGGTGGCTATAAATAACCTCGAGTCGCATTTGGGTTACCATACCTGTTGATTGAGTTATTTTACATTAATATGCCTGTGGTGCGGATGGACGGTCTCTCAGGCGGGTGGTCGGTGTACGGTCATGTGATTACCAAATTTTCTCGGATGGGTAGATTACTTTATTTTCTTACTCATGGTGCTCCGCTGGCGCGCTTCGCGCGCAAGAGCTCTTCTATTAGGAGAAACGCAGTGGCAAACTGAGCAGCGCAATAAACTGCTTTCTGGTAACGCTCTGACATCAGCCTGGGGCATTCAAAACTTTTATTTATTATTTTAAATTTATTTATTTTGTAAAATATCTGCTTCAAGTACCAAATACTGTTCAGAAATGTCAATAATTTTCATTTCTAGGTATCTGTTTAGATGTACAGAAGATATTCGGAGCTATTCTAGCAAATTCTGCTTCCCGCAATTGGCAAGCAAAAAAGTAAAAGATTCCGTAAAAGGATATAGCCATGAGAAAATCTCACGTTTTTGCCCTAAACTTTGAATATTCATATAGAATTTACGGAAAATGATAGGAAAGTCCAAGTAAGTTCCAAGAAACTGAAGCTGCCCTAGAACGCCGCAATTGAACAGATTGACAAACCCTGGTATAGGTTGGCGGGTATTGCTTTTGGCAAGAAACTAAAAACGAAAAAAGACTCTCTAGTATAGTTATCAAAAATGCATTTGCCCGCGGAAGGGCAATCCGGAGCAGCCTCCCCTTAATTTAAAACTCATTTATTTAGTGCATTTTGATGAGGTACATAATAATCAACGCCGTGTTAGCTGCTTTCCTATCATTACTCGTGGAAATTAAATTACCAGGCTTCATCGGAGCATGAGCTCGCTAAGTTGATATAGTAAGTTGTAAGAAGCACTGACTGTAACTAGATGACTTTTGGCTACAACCATTACGACCTCAGTTTCCCGGCTAAGCTCGCGGGGCTTTCCGACTCTATGTTGGTCAAATCCNTATTGCTTTTGGCAAGAAACTAAAAACGAAAAAAGACTCTCTAGTATAGTTATCAAAAATGCATTTGCCCGCGGAAGGGCAATCCGGAGCAGCCTCCCCTTAATTTAAAACTCATTTATTTAGTGCATTTTGATGAGGTACATAATAATCAACGCCGTGTTAGCTGCTTTCCTATCATTACTCGTGGAAATTAAATTACCAGGCTTCATCGGAGCATGAGCTCGCTAAGTTGATATAGTAAGTTGTAAGAAGCACTGACTGTAACTAGATGACTTTTGGCTACAACCATTACGACCTCAGTTTCCCGGCTAAGCTCGCGGGGCTTTCCGACTCTATGTTGGTCAAATCCAGTAGTTATAATTGCTAACGCATTGATCGATATTAAATAAGTGGGGATATTAATCTCAAAATGACCATTATGATGATAATACATCTTAAGGTATCTGAGCGTTTTCTCTCATGTTCTGATTGGTGGAGAGCTATTTTCAATTTTGAAGTGCAGACGATGGAAAAAACGAAATGGCGACGCAATTTTCCTTTTTCCCTCCCCAGCGAGTGTCCTAGAAACTTTAACAAAAATGGACGTCAAAGTTGTCAATCGATGTTACCGTAAAAAAAATCGACAGAATTTTTCCGGGATCTAAAACTCCCAACTCCTAATTCCACTTGAGTTAAAAACATTTTGACGTCATTTTTATGGTAGATTAGAGTACAGACCATGGGAATTTGTTGTGGATTTGTTAAATCAATGCATAATCCATCACGGTTAAAAATAAGAAGTATAATAACAACTATTTTCTGACGTTCGGATACTAGCAAGGTCTGCTCTGGGATCAGGTAAACCAAAGACAGACAGCATGTGCTAACTGCACGAAATGCGGTTGGTAAGGTAGTATTAACATTTTTTTGTTGCGGATATCAAGCTGGCTGATCATAGTATATTGTTATCATTCAGTAGTTTGAGAGTTTCAGAATGTCTGTTTCTTGCTTACGTCAGTCGCACTAAATTCATTCAATGTTGAACGGCTCGGCATGTTTGACAATTTTTGAGAGGGTGAGGTATTGTGTACTAACTGTTTTGGTGAAATGATATCATTCTGTTATATTTATTCGATAACAATGTTATGTCTGGTTTGCTTTTGGCGTGTCTGGTTTGCTTCTGTCTTCTTGTGCTAAAGATATACCCCATTTGTTTTGTCACCGTATGTTACACTTGCATATGCGCGTATCTAACACACACCAATCTGGATTTCGTCAACTTAAACCTGCTTTCTTCCATTTTAAAGAATACTTCGTTTGTCTGTGACAAATACGTAAATCATGAAAAAGTAACATAAAGAGCAGAAAAATAGACTGACTATTTGGACTGGTCAATTTATAGATATCTCTTTTTTTTTTTTTGCTTGAAGGCCTGTTTTAAACTCTATGAAACTACACAGCCATGCATGTTTTGAAACTCACAACAAATTCCAAAGATCTTTTCGGTGAAAGTGTTTCTGTTAAATGTGTAACAAACTTTTTCCCGTGTAATTGTGGTAGTCACCCGCCGATATAATGGTGGAAATCAAGTAATGTGATATTGACCTAAGCAGATATTATGCGTCGACACTGAATCGATTAAGGCTAAACTTCACGAACACTATACCGGTACAATGTTTTTAATGCAGAAAATGGGTCTTCAACAACAATAACAAGAAAAACAACAACTTAGTAAAGTAACAGAAATAATGACGATGCCTAACTTAGTTCAACTAGTCAACAGCCTCTTAATTAGTCATCTTTTTTCGACGTTTAATTCACGTCTTCATATTGACCATAGTCTGGATTACCCAAGTAAACTAACAACATACAATATGTATTTGCATTTATTACTAAAAGATATATTGCTAGCAAGCTAGTATTTGCTGTTATAGCTGTCAACTTCACGTATCTGATTATTGTTATCATAGCGTATTGAAAGAGAGTTTCAGAATGTTTATTTCTGGCTTACGTCCTAGGACTAAATATAGGTTATTCTGCGTCAAAATAGATCTGAAATATCAAAGAGGGCCGTTAACAAATGTATTTATACCTTCCTTCCAATGTTTTCCTATTCACATATGTTTAGTGTTGGACGCAAAAGGGACTTTAATCCTGCTGATTTTTCGCCCGTGCAGTGCATCAGACCAGACGACAACATGAATGAATCTTCGGAGAACGCAAACAGTTGTTCTCTTCCCCCGGCTCATGGTATTCCACTGATCGCAATCAATTTTATCATATGCGTTCTGGGATCACTTGGAAACTTCCTGGTTTGTTTGGCCATTACTACAAACTCTCGCCTACGCAGAGCTTCAAACTACCTTTTATTCAGTTTAGCGATCGCTGATCTAATCGTCACTTTGGTATGCGAACCACTACTTTTGAAAGTAATAATCACGAGGACATTCTTTCATGAGTGCACAAAGAGGCTGCAGCTTACGTACTCCATTTTATCACAAATTTCATGCGGCAGTTCAGTTTTACATATGGTTGCAATCAGTTTTGATCGTTTCGTTGCCGTTGTGTTTCCACTACGGCACAAGAACTTCATCGAGGGATGTGGACTTAAGCTTATGCTTATAATATCCTGGTCAATCCCGATTCTTGGACGCGTTTTGGTGTCTATCGTTCCGCCGGCCTCCTATCCCGGCAATTTTATCGGACTGGGAACCTTTGCCTTGAGCTATTTCTTTATTTTCTTTTTCTATTTTCTAATCGTGCTATTTCTGCTCCACTACAGAAAGACAAGAAAGCACCTAGGTGCCCGAGCAAATTCTGTGAAAGTCACTTTCAGGAGGGAGGTCCGTGTAACTTGCACACTGGCTATCGCAATCGGCGTTTTCACGGCTTGTTGGGTTCCTCTGATGACTGTATTCTTTGCCGCTGGAAAACTAATTATAAATCGAAACGGCTCTCTACTCATGTGGCTCCGAACCCTGGCTCTGTCCAACTCAGCCATGAACTTTCTGATCTACTCTGCTAAAATCCGGGACTTCAAAGAGGCATACGTTTATATTTTTCGAAAGATGCTCCGCCTGTAGAGAGGTCTCGACTTTTACTACCGTTTCAAGAACTCAGAAAGTTTTAGGAAGCTGAACTTGTGAGCAGTCCTAATCTTTATCAAAAGGTTATTCAGTGTGTTAGAAACGTGAAGTCTCAGTACTTTAGTCCTGCCTGGCATTATCTATTTCAAAGGAGAAGCCAGTCTCCCAATCACGTCAGTTGTTCAAGAAACTGCACTTTGGCAATAAACCGACGTCAGCCAGGGGCACCAGACGAATTATTCGCTGCCGAAGTGTAAAATATCCGCTAAAGGAAGTAAATATTATCTGATAAGGTTCCAAAGAAAGAACAGAAAGACAAACTTTTCCAGCGCCCCATTCACACCGAAGCTTAAACATGTTTAAAAGCTGTTTGTTTAAACACCGTTTAAATTTTTTTCTTTCATAAAATTATGAGCTGCTTACTAACTTACGGGTTAATTACAAATTTAGTGCAAATTACAAGACATGATGAATTTTATATGAATCCTGTACTGTAAAACCTGGTTTAATTAAATATGTTTAGTTGTTTGTTAATAGGGCATAGGTGTTTGCTGCATTTCCGAGCTTTTTCGGACCTGTAGTACCCTGCACTTCCACACAATTTTCTGAAGTAGGGATTTTCACGCTTTAATCAGCAGATTTGGTTAATATCTTGAGAAAGGTCCCTTAGTAGCATCTAGGAATTTCGAGAAGGATAGGTGAAGCCCTCGAAGGGGAGTACCTCTAAGAAAGTTAGAGTAGAGGGGTGGCGCCGAGGCCCTCA